AGCCCCCACCTCCCCGCGCCACTGCGGAGACCCGGCGGGAGGGGGAGGGCGCGGCGCGCGCTGCTCACGGAACCCGACTCCCAGACCCGCAGCGCGGCCGGGACTCTTGGGCGAAGAAGAGACAGCTGCGTCCGAACCGCCGAGCCCGACTGGGGGAGGGGCCGGCCGCCCGCCCCGCAACGTTCCGGGGGAAACGGGTTGGAGGGGGTGCGCTCACGGGTGCACTGCCGCTGCCATTCACCCTTCCACCCACGAACAACCCTTACCTCCGCACGACCCGCCGCCAGAGCTTTATGGTGAGGCAGGCTCAAGTGGCAGCGGGGTCCAGGACTTCTGTCCCAGGAAATACACATGCTGATGGGCCAGTTCCCGGCTGACTCGGATGCCCCCTGGGACGTGATTTTGTAGACACTGGGAGTCACATCTGCAAGGCCGAGAGAGGAGGAAGATAGGGGACTCTCTAGGTGAGGCTAAATTGAATAATGCCCAGACTTAATGAGAATGCGCAAGGTCAGGTTGGAGGCCACACAAGGTCACAGGAAGACTCACCAGCTGCCAAGTAGTCAGTCACCAATCCTCAGGCATGTCACATGAAGCCACAGGCAGCCACATGGAATCACAGGTGCTTTCCGAGGACACAGGCAGGGATGGTTATGTGTGTGGTACATGAGAGCTCAGATTCCTTAGCTATGGCTAAAAAGTCACCAAGTTGCTGATGGCGTTGGGATGCCTCTGTCTGGGAACAAAAGGAGAAAGCCTGATTCTGCGATTTTCCAAAAGAGTAAAGGTAGGTATTCTGATGGAGGCTCTCTGGACATCTTCAGGTGGATTTCACGAAGTTCCCCCTCAAAACTCTTGTGCTCTTCAAGCATTAAGGATTCACTAGGTCTCCAGCACCGAGGACAGCGCTCAGGCAGTCCAGCCCTCTCTACAGGCAGCCAGGCACTAATTGAGATCAGGACCCTGACCAGGAGGAAGAGGGTGAGAAACCAGACATCAGACATCAGGAAACAAGGGTGGATAGGTAAGATGGCTTGCTCTCTGTGCACTTGAATTCACAGCTGGGTTGCAACTGTGTGTGTGTGTGTGTGTGTGTGTGTGTGTGTGTGTGTGTGTGTGT